CGTCAGGTGCGACAGCGGCATCTGCCTCTCCCCCGCCAAAAGAGAGTTCTGGGTGTTCACGAGTAGGAAATGATATTCCATGGCTATTTCCCTTGATTCTGTTTCAGGTGGCACCTCAACAGGGATGACGGTGAACACGCCTCTGTGTTTTAGAGGGAAAAAGATCCTGGCTCCAATGGTGCGAGTGGGAACATTACCAATGCGTCTTCTCGCTCTGGACTATGGTGCTGATATCGTGTACTGTGAGGTAAGAAGGATGAGTGGATGAATAAAAGTTCAAATAGACTTTGTTGATTTTAGGGCTTTTTCCTTTTACATACATTTTTCATTAGAAAAATGGGGAAAGAAGAATCACTTAAGGCATTTCCCTTTGAGCAGTCCTCAAGTTACAGCAAACCCATGTTTTAAGACTGTTCAGTGGTTTCAGTTCATTTAGACAAAACGCTCACTGTAACAATTTCCTCATATTCTACTGTTTTGTTTTTTGTTGGTTTTTTTTTTCCTGTGTTGTTTGGGGGGAGGTTTGGTTTTTTTGACACTGAAGAAAGTCTTAGACCAACCCTCTCACCCAGTTACTTCTCCTGAGCGAACCCAGAGCATCCATCTGTACCCCTCAGAGCACTGCTGTCCTTGTTGCTTAACCACTTTTCTTAAAGCTGCTTGAAGATGAGACCTCAGTTTGCTGCAGACATTGTTGGTAGGACTACTCTAACTTAAAGTATTTAGTCTGCACTATCCTTATTGTTGCAGTGCATCAGAATCCCCATTTTCCTCTTCAGTGCTAGTATTGACTCTTCTCAAACACAGGCACCAGTACAAGTTGCATGACTTAGCTGAGATTTAAAAAAAAAAAACACACCACCAAACAAACAGTAAGGAGTTAAATATAATGTAAACATGGCTTAAATACTGGCTTTCCTGGAGAATATTTGATTTGTACCAATAGAACAGGCTGAATCAATCATTTACGATGTTCTCCAGGAATCTTCATAGCAGTTGTCTCGTGAGTTAGCTCATTGCCCTTTCTGGGGGAGAAGAAAGACAAAGAGACAATGTGCTGTTTTTATCTTGGCCACAGTTCACCTTTTGTCTCTAGCTTTTACGATTACAAATGATATTTAATTAGTTGGATCAGCTCCATGTGAAAATAACTATTGCTGTATGATTCAGAAAAAAGTCTCAAAGTTCAGTAGAATAGTTACCTCTCTATTGTAAAATTGGGAGTAGTAAGGTGGTTTTGTTTGACAAACAATAATTAGCAGTTTCACAGTTTATGTTACGACCTCTCTACTTTACATGGAATTAAGTGAGAATATATATTTTTTAATTCTCTAGGTGACTAACTGTAGATCATGCATAGATAAATCACAAGCAGAGCATTACAAGATCTAGAAGTGAGTTAGGCTTCAGACAGCCTTTCTACTTTTCCAGTATCTCTTACACTTCTTTGTGGTAAGAGAGAACCTTGTTACTGAGCAGCTACTGGATTTCACTAACCACAGATTTGACAGGGCCATTGTATAGGAAATTAGTGGAAGACAGTAATGTAGAAGTTGCAGTGTTGTGTTTTTTTTTTTAAAACCCACAACAACCAAAACCCACAACAAACCACACACACAGAGGTATTGCTTTGCTTGCTACTGAAGTCAGAGCATGAGAAGTCATTTAATCCTGTACTGTAAACTGTATAGCTAAAGCAGTTTCTTCTTCACACACACTTTTTGCCACAATTTCAGAGAAGCAGTACCTCAAGAGACCCAGAAGCTTACTTAACAAGTTGCAGTATGTAACAAAAGTTACTTTATGAAAATTATTCCTGTATCAAAAGCCTGTTGTAGTTTTCTTCATCTCGCCTCAAAAATAAGGTCTCTTGCATTGTCTTTCCTTTTTTGCATATTGTTGTTGAGAGGCAGGAGAGTTAAGATGCCTTTGACATGGATTAGTGTTTGCAGTTGGATATCTTGTCTTAATAGATTTTACCAGAAAAAACTACACTTTGTAGGCTTTAAGAATTGACAAGATAGTATAAAATAGAAATAAATTGCCTGAAACAACTGTTCTGTCTGATCCATCCTCCTCCCACTTAAAACTGACCAATAATTGAACTCAGCATTGCTAAGTTGCAAATGTTTACTTGCTCAGATAACAAACTGAGATTCCTGTTTTTTTGAAAGCTTAGCAGAACATGTTTCACTCATCCAATAAATTAGTGACCTCCGGAAAAAAAACAACCCAAACAATATTTTATATAGCCTTAATTAATTTACTTTTAAGTGCAACAGACAACATAGTCTTTCGGAATTTTCAGAATTCTAAATAACTTTAGCGTTAACTTTGTACAATACTACAATTTAACAACCTCACCACGTTTTTCTCAATACTCAGTGCCTGTCTTGACAGAAAATAGAATCACCACTTGCTCAGTGGTACACATCCTCACTAACCTGAGTGTTACACAGAGCTTACACACTTCATATAGGCTTACTCACTTAAGGGTATCATATGTATAATTACATGACTCAATCTGTTCTTAAGTGAGGTTTCTAATAGACTACATTATTTTACTGTATTAGAGCCATGACACCTTCAAAACTCTTTATTTATTGCACAAAATAAAAATCACATTTCTGGGCATAAGAATTTTACTGTTTGAATTTGATAACTGTATTTTGTAACTTCATTTCTGATTTATCTTTTTTTTTTTTTCCAATGCTTTCCGCCTAATCCCCTCAGCATTTTGGAACTCAAAGCAGGTTTAGAACTTATTGTGAACGGTACCTGATGAGAAGTATTAGTTAAAAAAAATGCACTATTCATAAGACTTATAGTATAACATAAACATGTTGAGATTAGTCTAATTTATTGTTTGTTTGTCCCTTACCTGTGAATCAGGAGGTCTTCAACCTTGTCTTATTTGCTAAAAGAAAGAATCTATAGTACACTAAACTTCTTCAGGTAACTAATACTTTACATGGGGGCTTTTTTCCCAATTTATATAATGGTCAGGTTAACTGCTGCATATTTATTTCAGCAGCTAACAACTCATATTGGCTGTAGCCCTTTGTCAATTAAAGGCAGTCAGCTTGTCTTAAAGCTCAGCTATAATTAAGTTGATGAGATGTATATGAGAAAAGGGCTCAAATGGTGTCCTTAATAAATTGAATTGCATAAATCTGCAGTTAATTGAATATATGTCGACTGAAGTTCTAGATTTCCTCTAAAGAAAAAACAACAGTTCTAGAAGAACGATGACTACATATTAGGTTTTCCAGTAGAGGTCAAACAAAACTGCATTTTGTATTTTCACAAATGTGGAAAACTGTAAATCTCAGGATTAAGGTAAAGAAGTCTTAAAGCCTAATGCTGCTGTTTTGCTCACATCTGTGTTTGGCTGGTACAAATCTATGTTGATTCTCAAGGTGCTCTGCTGTTCTAGCATTAAGTTATTTTCCCCTTCTGCTCTTGGTGGTTTGTTCTGCTTTGTTTCCAGCTTGCTAAGTAGGTATTTGAACAAAATAGTTCTTCTAGAGCTATGTAAACATATCATATTCTTATAATCATGTTTTGAAACTTTAGTTGAGCATGTTGTATAGTTAAACTCTTGTTTTCACTTGTATTCTTTTTCAATATTTGGTATCTCTAGGTAGTTGTTTAATAAAATGGGCAACTTCAAAGCTAGGCGGCTTAAACACTTCAACTCACTGAGGTGTTTTTATTCTTTTTTCTCAGGAGCTGATTGACATAAAGATGCTGCAGTGTAAAAGGGTTATAAATGGCAAGTATGGTATTATTTCGTTAATATCTGTAACAGTTCTTTTTTCTAGTTAAGGGAAAAGAGAATTATTTCTCTGAAGTAATTTTATAGTGATTACAATGAGTTATCAGTACATATAATCTCTCTCAGCAGTGTCTGGGGATTTAAGCTAAGCTTTTGAAGCTCTTCCTTACACCTGTCTGCTGCTCTACAGTTTCAAACTTTAAATTTCCCTTCCTAAGGAATTTCAGTTCTTCAGTCAGTGTCTCTCAAGTAAATCACAAATGTTTTTGGAGGATAGAGCTAATGCATTAGTAACTGAGAGTTTGTTATTCTTTTTAAACCTAGCATGAGGTCTTTCTCCACCATTGGCTTAGTTTATTACAAGGATTTGATGGGGTTTCTGTTAAACTCTTTGACAGAGATCAGGTCACTGGATGTGCAAGTATAGGCCTTCTAAAGTGAAAGACTTTATAATTCTAGCTCCTGGAATTCTGTCTTTCTCCTTTTATTAAGAAAAATGTGATCAGTGCTGGAAATCCAGTGTTAGTGTTTCACCATTATGTTTCCTGGCAGCAGATGAAAGAAACTAGTAGCTGGAATAGATGGGGTGTTAAAGTTCCAGTGCATTGTTTAAAACTTATTAAAGCTTTTAGTTTTATGTGGGTTAAAAAGACAAGTAATAAAATTGTAATTAGCCAATAACCCTCCTTAATTCTGTATCTACATACTGTCTTCAGCCTCTCATACTCTACTGCTTTTGTATTCTATTATATGAAAGAATAAACAGTAAAATCTCTTGGGTTTTTTTTTTTCAGAAATTTCACATATGTATGTACTAATATAAAACTTAATTTCCTGAGCAAAACTACTAGTGTTAGTTACAAAGCTTTTTGATTTTTCAAGAAGTTTGATAGTGCCCAAGAATCAAATTCATTTCTACTGCAGTAGAGACAGTTTCCAATCATGAATCTTTGTAAACATTAGCTGTTTGTGACATTATAATATATACATACCTTTTAGTTTACTGCAATAAGTAAGCAAGACATATGAGATCTCTCTGTTTATCATTCTTTGGTTAACTTGAGGTCCATGGGCTAGATTTGGCATAACAAAATGTACACAGACAAGTTCTTGAAAAGGTGTCTGAGACCTGCCCAGCCAAGTGGCATGAGAAACAGTTGTTTGTAGTGTCCCTGTTGGCAACAGAGGTCTGATACAAATCTGTTTTCCCCTCTTGCCCCTTCCCAAAAGTGGTACCGTTTTGTTCGTTCTGGCTGGTTCATTATTAGACTTGTTCTGGTGCTGATGCTTGCCCAAGAAACAGGCTGGTGGATGATTAGGGAGTACTATGGGAGGGAAACAGCAATATCTGAGAAATGCACTACAAGGACGTATAGGAGGTAAGGTGCTATTAGTTCTGCTGTTCATGGAAGACATATCTGATAGCGTTTCATTTATATGCAAAGTTATATAGTCATGTGACTTCCTTTACGATTGCCTTTATCTATCGTTTTTGTCTTTTTTACCTGTTTCTCATTTCATATAGAGGTACTTGGAACAGTGGACTTTGTTGCACCTAATGAAAGAGTTGTTTTCAGAACTTGTGAAAGGGAGAGGCACCGTGTTGTCTTTCAAATGGTAAGAAATCAACCACAGGTACTCCTGTAATAACAGCATAGTTAAACAAGGTAGTGTTAGTAACACTAATCTAAGCCTAAAGCAGCTCTCTGTATTGCAGACTATCAATTTCTTGATGTAAAATTTCCACGCTGAATGTGTTGCAGAATTTCTAATCTGTTGGTACGTGTGCAGTTAAGATGCTACACTATAAACTCTCCATACAGCTCTTTTCAGAAGAGGTGATTAAGATGAATTCTGTGTTCTATGACAGCAGCTTCTTTTTGTAATAGATATCTTTGATGCATTTCCAAATATACAGATACCAAAAATAAACTGTGCTGCTGTTGGATCACATGTTTAAGTCTTGCACTGTCCAGTAAACAGTCTCACTGGAAACACTGAAAGAAATGGCATTATTTAGTGTGGATAAGAGAGGATTAGTGTGTGCATTAGCATTGCACAAGTGAGTTAAAGGCTACTGGAGAGAAAAAGGTAGTAATTCCTTCTTGGAGACCAATCTGTGTAGGACAAGAGATGATGGGGGTTGGAGGGAGGGTGAAGTGTGGACTGCATTAGATACTGGAAAAGACGTTTTTCAGTGGTAATGATAGCCCTGGAATAGGTTGCTTGTAGAGGCTGTAGAATTGTTATTAGTGGAGCTTCATAAAAACATGATAAAGAAATATCTAATGGTGATGGGCTAAAAACATTTGATACTGCTGTAGGTTAAGAGGGTGGACAGACCTCTCCACATCCCTTTTTTCGTCACCTTTTGTCATTCTGTGGCTGACTTAGTACCTGCTTTAGCTAAATGTTTTAGCTATCTGTTGTGCCATGAATGGGTACCTGTCACTTTGTACTAAATGTTTAGAGCAAGTATAGTTATACAAGTGTGTGAGTGAGCACTTTTTTTTTATTAATTTCATGATATTTTATAATTATAAATCTTCTTATTTTACCAACAG